TAAAATTTTGTCTACTGGACTATGGTTAAAAAATAAACAATATTGAAAAAAAATCCAATCTGCAAATTCGATCTAATCCATTATCCCATGAATCGGTGGCGGATTAAGAATTTTCCAATCCGTGGTCACCCTTATAATCAGTTGAATTTAAGTTTTGCACTTTTTCATAATATCGTATTTAATAAAAATTTGAGCCACAACCCTGTTGTGGTTATGTGGAGTCTGATTAGGTAATTGTTTTTTAGAAAGATTTAATTATATGGAAACTTCAAGACTGCTGAAATTTAAGGAAAATTCAGTTTCCTGATCTGATTCAACTTACTTATCGGTTTAGGAAAAATTCAGTTTCCTGATATGTTTTAACTTCCTTATTGGTTTTGGATTTTACAAAAGGCAAGTTCTTGTAGGATAAGTTTGGAACTCTATAAATATCAACTCTAATTAGATTTTAAAGTGCGTGAGAGTTAGAGATAAATTTGTGCCAATACAAGAGAGAGCAATTGAAAGAGATTGAAATAAAATTCTCTATTGTAATTCTTCATCTTCATCATAGTGAATTTGTTCGGTGTGATCCATGGACGTAGCCCTAAGATTTGGGTGAACCATGTATATCTTGTGTTCTTGTGTGTTATTTTTTTTTTTTATTCTTCGTGATTACTTATTTATTTCTTGAACAGCGTTGTTTATTTTGCGTTTCCGCCATAACAACTGGTATCAAATCTAGTTGATTGTGCAGAGCAACTCTAACAACTAGTATCAGAGCCTTTGGTTGAGAACCTAAGGCACAGAAAGTGTTTGATGAAATTCCGAAAGTCTTTCGATCAGATCTATCCGTTCGAGTGGGAGTAATGGCATCAGAAGATAAAACATCCACATCTATGATCGAGAAGTTCGATGGCACAAACTTCTGTTTCTAGAAGATGCAAATTGAAGACTTCTTGTTTCAAAAAAATCTATATCAACCTTTGGGAGAGAAGCTAGAGGAAACAAAGAATGCAGAATGGGAATTACTTGATAGGAAGGCTCTTGACACCGTCAAATTGACGTTATCAAAATCAGTTGCCTTTAATATCAAGAACGAGAAGACGACGAAGTCTCTCATGGCAGCCCTTTCTAGTATGTATGAACAACCTTCTGCAGCGAACAAGGTGCACTTGATCAAGAAGTTGTTCAATATGAAGATGGTCGAAGGTGGTAAGTTCAATGAATATCTAAATGCGTTCAACGAGATAGTTGGGCAATTGGAGTCCGTTGATATCGACTTTAAAGACGAAGTCTGCGCACTGCTAATTCTAGGGCAGTTACCGGAGAGTTAAAGTGGCACAGTTACAGCGATCAGTAGCTCTGCAGGGAAGACCAAGTTGAAGTTTGATGAAATTGTGAGCATGATTCTGACTGAAGAAATCAGAAGGCAAATAGCAGGGGTTTTCACCAATGGTTCGGCATTGAATGTTGAAAGCAGAGGTAAGGGTTTAAACAAGAAGAAGGGCAACGGTAATAAAAACAGAGGTAGATCCAAGTCAAGGAATGGAAGGACACAGTATAAAAATTTTAGAAATTCCACAGATCTTAGTGATGTTGAGTGTTGGAATTATGGAAAGAAGGGACATTACCGTGTTGATTGCAAACTTCCAAAGAAGGAACCCGTCACGACCTGAATTTTCTAAGAAAATGCTCTGATACCATTTTGTCACGACCCTGAAATTCTAATAAAATCCTCAATTTAATCAATACAAATTCATCAAAATACACCCAGGGTCATAAAAAAATGTCATGTTTTATAAAAATCAATTTTCTCAAATATACACAAAAATTCTCCAAATAAATAAAATAAATCCTATAACGCCGACTCTTCCACCTAAACCCGAATCTAGCAATCGCCGTTCATCTTTGGTACCTGAAACTGGAGCGTGGTGAGACAAAAAGTCCCAGTAGGAAAAACCATAACAAGAATTTCATGGAGGTTTAACAAAATAGTTTCACAAAATATACATATTTAGGTGAATATATAAACAAAATACACATGCATTTAATTAAAATATTTAATAAAAACCATTGAAGCAAAACCACTCTAAGTCATTCAAGGTATAGAGAACCCTACACTGAAAAAGAATTTTCCTCACTTGATCATCAAAGCCTCAAACCTCCGGCCTCCTCCGCAACTCTCGGCCCTTCTCTGCAACTCTCGTCTCTCTCTGTATTTTCTTTCATTGTATGCTCTTTCTCACTCTGTCATCTCTAATTTCCTTCTTTCAATACACTCGGTGCACAAATAATCCTTATATAAGCAAATGAATCGACATAAATAAATAAATAAATAAAAGAAAAAAAAAATCATAGAAGCATCACTTTAACAGACAACAAAATCAGCCCATGTGAAGTCTAATGATTTTAGCAAAAGAAAAAAAATCATTTCAAATGGGACCCGCCAAACACAATTTCAACTTTCCTTTCTTTTCCTCTCTTCGGCTGACCGCCCCTTTCTTACTTTCTTTTCCCTTATCATCATTACCTTCTCTCTAACAACAAAGCCCAGCCACATGCATGCACCAAAAAGTAGTGCCAAAAAGTCATTCAAGTGGGACCCGTAAAAAAACTACTTTTCTCCTCAATTTTTAGCACTACCAGCCTCATTGCTTCATCAGACCATATATATATATACACACACACACACACACATATATCATTTATATATATGTATGAATGCAAAAACCAAAACACCCATTAAACCTCTGGGACCCGCCACTTATACCATTTCAATTTATTTCCTTACCCACTAATTTCGCTGCTCCCTCCATCAGGTGGCATCACCCTCACATGCAATATATATATCATTTATATATATATATATATATATATATATATATATATATATATGCAAAAAAAATCAAATCCATAAAAATATCTTAATCGGGTAAATCTCTAATTTAAAACTAAATTAAATACTCAATCTTAAATAACTAAAAATCATGAAATGAATATAATTTAAATAAAAATCTTAAAAATCCGGGTTATCACAGAACCGAAAGAAAAACTGAAGCAAACGTTGTCTCAGAAGAATCAGATAATGCGTTGATATGCTTTTTGGAGAGCAAGGCGGAGTCATAGGTTTTAGATTCCAGCGCATCGTTTCATGGCATCTCAAGCAAAGAGCTATTTCATAGCTATGAACCGAGTAACCTTGGCAAAATGTATCTTGGTGATGATCAGCCTTGTAGCGTCTTTGGCAAGGATAAAGTGCAAATCAAGTTAAATGGGTCAGCTTGGAAGTTAAAGGATTTGAGATACATCCTTGACTTAAGGAAGAATCTGATTTCGGTGGGACAATTGTCAAATAAAGGTTTTGTTACAACCTTCAATGGAGACTCGTGGAAAATTTCCAGAGGCGCTATGACCATTGCACGTGGTAAGAAATCTAGCACTCTCTACACAACTACCAATGCTTGTGGGTCTATAGAAGTTGTAGAAAATAGAGAAGATCATAACCTTTGGCACCAGAGACTAGGTCACATGAGTGAAAAGGGACTCAAAATTATGCACTCAAAGGTACCTGGCATACGGGCAATTGATATTGACTTATGTGAGAGTTGTGTGATGGGCAAGCAAAAGATGATCAGTTTCAAGAAGAGTGACAGAGATCTCAGAAAGGAGAAACTTGAGCTAGTTCACACAGATGTTTGGGGGCCAGCCACTATCTCATCCATTGGCGAAAAATACTATTTCGTGATTTTCATTGATGACTACACGAGGAAGGTATGTGTTTATTTTTTGAAGCACAAATCTGAGGTATTTGATATGTTCAAGAAGTGGAAGGCTATGGTAGAGAATGAGACAGGTTTGAAGATCAAGAATTTGAGGTCAGACAATGGTGGTGAATATGAAGACACCAGATTCAAGAAGTTTTGTTTTAATAATGAGATCAGATTAGAGAAGACTCTGCAAGGAACCCCACAGCAGAATGGGGTGGCAGAACGGATGAATCTAACATTGATAGAAAGAGCTAGAAGCATGCACATACATTCGAGTCTACCCAGACAGTTTTGGGCAGAAGTAATCAATACAGCATCCTACTTAATTAATTGTGGACCATCGGTGTCTTTGGAGCATCGAATACTAGAAGAGATATGGAGTGGCAAAGCGGTAAATCTTTCATGGCTGAAAGTTTTTGGTTATATTGCATATGCTCATATTAGTGACCATGCTAGGGGAAATCTTGACCCAAGTCACTAAAATGCATCTTTGTTGGGTATGGCAGAGATGAGTTTGGTTATCGACTCTGGGATAATCAGAACAAGAAAATCATCAGAAGTAGAGATGTGATTTTCAACGAGAAGATGATGTACAAGGATATAGATGCAGCACAGTTAACTAGTCCTATACAGAGTAAGCTTGAGTTTGTTGAGTTGGATGATGATCCAGAGAGCATTAAAGCGGAGCTCTTGGCCAGAACTCACAGAGCATAGTTCACCGCGGATTCCAACTCCTAAGCCTATAGCCAAAAGGTCCACACGACCTCATGTACCAAATCGAAAATTTTTGGATTATATATTGCTTATAGATGATGGTGAGCCTGAATGCTATGATGAAGCATGTCAGGTTGAAGATGCTAGTAAGTGGGAGCTTGCAATGGAAGATGAGATGAAGTCCCTTATCTCTAACAAAACATAGGAACTAGCCAAGTTGCCCATGGAGAAGAAAGTTCTTCACAACAAATGTGTGTACAGGGTGAAAGAGGAATATGATGGTTCCAAGAGATACAAGGCGAGATTGGTGGTCAAAGGCTTTCAGCAAAAGCATAGTTGTTAAAGGCTCAAGGCGCACAAAAGCGCAAATGCCTCCTGGAGCCTGAGGCGCAAGGCGCAAGGCGAGGCGCGCGCCCGACTGAAGCAAGGCGCACGTTGGAAAAAAAAAAAAAACAAAACTCACCCAATAAGTATTAAAGATGCAATAGTATATACAAAGATATAAAAGTCAACTAAATGAATTATTTAAGTTAAATATTCAACATAAAGATGCCAAAACTAATTAAATCAAGTACTTGAGTTCAAAACAGTGAATAATCAAACATATTAACATAAAGATGCGAAAGTCAACTAAGGAGAAGTATAAAATAAAACTAAAACAAACATAAACATCATTTCTTCCTAAGAAGACAACACCAATGAATCTAAATATCATCCTCGTCATCAATAAGCATAACATCATTTTGATCGTCACTAAATGATTCATAATTCTCAGGATCCTCTTCTATCTCATCTGAATCATCCTCATCCTCATCCTCATCCACAAGTCGAACTGAAGAACTTCCTGCTCCCTTTGTTGGTAACCGTGAACTAGAACTAGATTTTGATCTAGTAGACCGTTGCGGCCTGCTAGCCTCTCCAATACCAGCAAAATTAGCAACATCACCCCATGTCAAGGAATCATCTTCATAGACTAGATCATGTTCTGCATCAGAATCATCCATCCTCCCCGTTAACCACTCGTTGCTCTCATCAATGTCATCGAGTAAAATGGGATCAAGAGTGTCACGCATATTATATCGACGCTTCAATGCTCTATTATATTTGATGAACACTAAATCATTCAAAGTTGTTTGAGCGAGCCTATTTCTTTTCTTGTTATGAAGCTGCAATAAATTCAACCTTAACTAGTAAGTATAAAAAATTAAAATTTTAACTTTCAACAATTAAATTACAAACCTAGTTAGTAGATAGTATATACTTACATGCTCAAACACGCTCCAATTTCGTTCACAACCAGAAGAACTGCAAGTAAGGCTTAAAACCTTTATAGCAAACTTTTGGAGAAGTTTTGTTGACTTGCCATAAGCTTCCCACCATGATGTTTAGCAACTTTAGCTTCATCTTTCTATCGACTCTATTGTCAAAATAATTTTAACACTTAGCTATACTAACTTAATATACTTTACCACTTTACCTGGTCCTCGTGTATTTCTCTGTCTAATAGCAAAGGGATTACCAAAGAGGCCCTCAGCTTTAGAATATAAGGACAGCTCCTCAGTAATTTTGTCTTGGTCTTTGATATCTGGGATTAACCTTGCAATGCATGCATACAAACCCTTTGCAATCTCTTCATCTTCTTCAATTTTCGGATTTGAATAAAAGTATTCTGGGTTCAAATAATAACCTGCTGCATGCAAAGGGCGATGAAGTTGAACATTCCACCTCTTATCAATTATTTCAAAGATATCCTTGTATTTGTCTTCTACTTCCCCAAATGATTTTGCAATGGCTTCTTTAGCCCTATCCATAGCCGCATAAATGTATCCCATGGGAGGCTTTTTCTCGCCATCAACTAATCTCAAAACCGGAATAAGAGGACCGGAAACCTTAAGGCTAAAGACAATGTTGTTCCAAAAGGAAGGCATCAAAACATAAGAAGCAACTCTTTTACCAGCTTCCTCTTTCGCCCATTTACTACGATTCCATTCTTCTGAAGTAAACATCTTCCTCAAGTTATTCTTTTGCTTGTGAATACTTGATAATGTGATGAAACATGTAGCAAATCGAGTCTTAGCGGGCCTAAGCAACTCCTTTTTAGAAGTAAAGTTCCTCATAATGTTCAACAACTTTGGACGCATATAGATATAACTATTCAACTCCACCGCCCTCTGCATTGTTCTGGAGATGGACGGTATTTTCCCAATGTCTTCTAACATCAAGTCTAAGCAATGAGCAGCACATGGTGTCCAATACAAATGTGGGTGTTCTTTCTCTAACATCCTCCCTATTTGAAACCAAACGGAAAAAAGAAAAAATGATATAAATTATATATTAATCAAAAAAGATTTAAATTATATATGTAAAGAATTTACATACTCTTGAAGTTATAAACATTGAACATTCTTACCGGCAGACTTATTGCTTGATTCACTATCTGTGACGACTTGAACGACATTTGCTACTCCAATGCGGTTCACAAATTTATTAAGTAAGTCAAACATCTTTGCACCATCCTTTGAAAAAGAAGAAGTATCTATCGATTCAATAAACATGGTTCCCCTTGGACTATTTACTAGGAAATTAAGCAATGTTCTCCCTCTCTTGTCTGTCCACCCATCTGCCATTAATGAGCATCCAAATTTTGACCACTCCTCTCTGTGGTCATTCATCAAAGCATTGGTATTATCCAATTCCTTCCTAAGCAAAGGAACTCTCACCTCGTGATAACTAGGTGGTTTCATGCCGGGACCATATTGTCCAATAGCTTCAACAACCTCGGCAAAGCTATCATACTTAACAGCATTGAATGCAATTCCTGCATCATACATCCACCTTGCAAAAGCAGCACACGCTCTTCCTCTCAACTCTTTCTTGCATGCATCATTAATGGTTGTCTGTTTTCCCCCCTCCTTTCTTTTTTGTACCACAATTTCTGGTCTGGGAATGAAATATAAATCAATCGGTCCTTTTTGCTTTTGCATCTTTGAGGAATTGACACTAGCACTGCCACTACCCGCACTAGCTACCCTTTTTCGCCGATTGTTAGCTTCCATAACATCATCCTCATCCTCTCCATCAAGGAAATTAATTTCATCACTAGGTAATAAATTCATTTGCTCTTTTTCTTCCTTTTTCTTACTCATGTACTCTTTGATTTCTTCTCTAACACTAGATGGGCATCTTGTGCATGCACTCACATTTCTATACCCTCCAGCTATGTGTTGCTTAGCCCGATAAATACCTCCTTTTGTAACTTTTGCACAAAAGTTACAAGTGACGGCATTTGTATCTTTCGGATTCTCCAAATGTGAGTAATTCCATGCCGGATCCTTTCTTGAACCATCACTAGGCATCTTTTAAAGTACAAACTACAATCAAATTCAAGATAACAAAATAATAACATGATTAGCATCATGTAATCAGTGTCTACAACAACTCTGACAAAAAAAAAAAAAAATTACAGAGCTTCAAAGAATCAAAGGCATATATGGACACTGCATGATAAATTCTATATGAGATTTATCAACTATATGAGATGTAATATATATGCATATATGGACTGCATGATACCATATAGGCATATACCAACTGATATGTATACTACAATTTATTCCAGCAGCACAGAATTGTAAAGTTGTAAACTACAATTTATTCCAGCTCAGAATTGTAAAGTTGTGAACTACAATTTATTCTAGCAGCAGAGAATTGTAAAGTTGTAAACTACAATTTATTCCAGCACAAAATTGTAAAGTTGTAAACTACAATTTATTCCAGCAACTCAGATTATAAAAAAATAAAAAACAAAAATAAAAGAAGAGGTTGAAGAGCAGAAGGCTAGAAGCAGAGAGAGCCGAGAAGAAGAATAGAAAGAAAAAAAAAATTTAAAAAAAAGGTCAGAGAGAGCCGAGAAGAAGAATAGAAAGGAAAAAAAAATTAAAAAAAAAATAAGAAAAAAAAATCAGAGAGAGGGTGAGAGCCGAGAGAAGAAGAATAGAGGGCAAAAAAAAAAAAAAAAGAAAAAGAAAAGGAAAGGAAAAATAAAAATAAAAAGAGCCGAGAAGAAAAAAAAAAAAAAAAAGAAAAAAGAGCCGAGACTCGGCTCAAAGAAAAGAAATAAAAAATAAAATAAAATAAAAAAGCAAGACTGAGAGCCGAGAGAAGAGACGAGAGAAGAGAACTGAAGAAAAGAAGAAGAAGAAAAAAAAAAAAGAAAAAAGAAAAAAAAAGAAAAAGAAAAGGAAAGGAAAAATAAAAATAAAAAGAGCCGAGAAGAAAAAAAAAAAAAAAAAGAAAAAAAAGAAAAAAGAGCCGAGACTCGGCTCAAAGAAAAGAAATAAAAAAAAAAAATAATAAAAAAGCAAGACTGAGAGCCGAGAGAAGAGACGAGAGAAGAGAACTGAAGAAAAGAAGAAGAAGAAAAAAAAAAAGAAAAAAGAAAAAAAAAAAACAGAGGAGAAGAAGAAGCAAGAAGGAGAGAAGAAGAAGCAAGGAGAAGAACTTACAGGCGCTTTGCAGATCCGGGCTTCGCAGACAGCAGATCCGATCATCCGACGAGCTTCCGGCTTGTACTTCTCTCTCTCTTCTCTGTCTCTTACTCTCTTCTTCCCTTTTCCTTCGCTTTTTGCTTCCGGCTTTTTTTTTTTTTTTTTTTTTTGACAACTGATAAAAGCTTAAAGTGACTGACATATCTGAGATTCTGAATATATCACGTGGCTCTGTTACAATTCACAAGACTTGCAAGTTGCAACCAAAATAATAAAAAAAAAAAATCAAAAAAAAAAACTTTTCAAACAGGCGCGCCTGTGCCGCGCCTGTAGCCCTGCGCCTAATCCCCAAAAGCGCACGCCTATTACAAGGCCCTCGCCCTAAGCCTTTCAAGGCGCCAAGGTGGCGCCTGGAGGCGCCTGGCGCCTCAGGCGCGCGCCTTCGGCGCCTTTAACAACTATGAGCAAAAGTAAAGCATTGACTACACAGACATTTTTTCCCCGGTTGTAAAACTGAGTACCATTCGCTCAGTTCTTAGCATTGTTGCAGCAGAGGGGTTACACCTTGAGCAGTTAGATGTTAAAATTACTTTCCTCCATCGTGACTTAAAGGAGGAGATTTACATGCAACAACCGGAGGGTTTCTTAGTCAAAAGGAAAGAGAAACTAATGTGCAAGTTGAAGAAAAGCTTGTATGGTTTGAAGCAAACCCCGAGGCAGTGGTATAAGAAGTTTGATGGTTTTATGAAGCGACATGGCTACAATAAGTACAACGCTGACTATTGCTGCTACTTCAAGAGGTTTAAGTCAAGTTTCATTATCCTTCTACTTTATATTGATGACATGTTAGTGGCAGGTTCTGATTTTGAAGAAATCAACAAATTAAAGAAGCAGTTATCTAGTGAATTCGAGATGAAGGATCCTGGTGCAGCGAAGCAAATTCTTGGGATGAGGTTTAGCAATGACAAGTAGAAAGGTACTTTGCAGTTGTCTCAGGCTGAGTACGCTGAACAGGTTCTGAAGAGGTTCAACATAAATAATGCTAAGGCGGTGAGTACTCCCTTAGCTAATCATTTCAAATTATCTCAAGATCAGTATCCGAAGACAGAGGATGAGAAAAACTTCATGGCTAAAATTCCATATGCCTTAACCATTAAAATTTTAATGTATGCCATGGTGTGTACAAGATCAGATATTACATATGCAGTGGAAGCAATAAGCAAGTTTATGAAGGATTCGGGCAAGTTACACTGGGAAGTAATGAAGTGGATATTGAGATATCTATGAGGTACCACAAACAGATGCCTATATTTCAGAAGGGGTGAAGTGAAGTTACATGGTTATGTAGATTCAGACTTTGCTAGTGAGATGGACCACAGAAGAAGTACTACCAGGTATATATTCATGGTGGGTACAACTGCAGTTAGTTGGGTTTCGCAAATACAGAGGATTGTAGCGCTATCTACTACAGAAGCAGAGTATGTGGCGATGACAGAGGCTAGCAAAGAGATGATTTGGTTACAAGGTTTGTTGACAGAGTTGAGATTCGAACAGGTGAAGAATGTTTTACACAGTGATTGTTAGAGTGCGATACATCTGGCAAAGAATTCAGCATTTCATTCAATGACCAAGCATATAGGACTTCGGTATCACTTTATCAGATCTTTGTTAAAAGATGGGGTGTTGACACTTGAGAAAATACTTGGCACTAAGAATCTGGCTGACATATTGACCAAGACAGTGACCATGGAGAAACTGAAGTTGAGCACAGCTTCAGTCAGTCTTTTAGTTTAAAGACAGAGAAAAGCACATCGACATGTATGGGACATGCATGAGAAGAAAACGGAATGGGTTTACAAGTGCTCCAGCCTCCAAGTGGGAGATTGTTATAGTTTTGTGGAGTCTGATTAGGTAATTGTTTTTTAGGAAGATTTAATTATATGAAAAATTCAAGACTGCTGAAGTTAAGGGAAAATTCAGTTTCTTGATCTGATTTAACTTCCTTATTAGTTTAGGAAAAAATCAGTTTTCTGATCTGATTTAACTTCCTTATTGGTTTTGGATTTTACAAAAGGAAAGTTCTTGCAGGATAAGTTTGGGACTCTATTGTAATGTCCCTATTTTTCGTCATTTTCATTTTTCTGGAATTTATGTTGTTGCGGGGCATTTTCGTCCTTTCTCATTCTGCGTACCGGACACCGTGGGGTGTGCCGGGTGTCTCCGAGAGTTGGTTAGAGCATTTCATTGAGTTCAAGCCTTTTTGAAATGCAATGGTTGCCATTTCAACATTTTTTCTGTTTTATAGGCTGGGAGGTCCCGGGTGGGACCCGCTATCGAAATTATTGTGCACGGGGGTTGTGTCAGGGGTCCATTGCATATCATGTGTATTTATCTTATGTATAATTTAGTGGGATAAATGTATTTGTGGTGTGTGATTATATATATATATATATATATATATATATATATATATATATATATATATGGATTTTGTGGTGAAAAGTCAAAAAGGTGGGATATATTATTAATGATAGAACCCACCACTAAGCATTTTGTGGCCAAGAGACCAATTTTGGTCTCATTTCCTCTCGCTCTCCCCTGCAATTCCTCTCTCCCTCTTCTTTTCTTTTTCTTTTGTTTTTTTTGTTTGTATTTTATTTTTTCCAATCAAGCTTTTAAGGCTTGATTAAGCTCACACCTTTGGGAATTCGATAGTACTTCCTTCGACAAAGTTATAGAGCTCATCGAGGCCGTCGTTTTGATAAGAGCCAAGCACCATTTGGCCAAGCCTAAGGATTTTGAATTTAGGGCTTTGATTTGGGAATTTTGGGGTATCTAATACATGATTTTCTTCTACTTTTGTGAGTCAATTCCTTATAATTTGTTCAATTGCGTGCTTAATTGGTCTAAATTCTTGTAAATTGCTTAAGTGTTGTATAATGAAATATGTGACAATGTGTTAGTTGATGTATTGTGTATAAGCATGCCTATGTGAAGTAGAATTTATGCTTTGTGTGCTTGCTATACTAGATCAATGTGAATGAAAGCATGAATTACATAATTTAGAAATTCGTTTTGAAAAGCATGTGTAAAATTCTATAGTTGAATTAATGATTAGAAGCATGAAGCATTCATGCATCCATTAGGAAATAAAAGGGGAAAAGTGTTTTGAAAGAAATGAAATTGTTTTGGGAAAATAGTTTTCGAAAAGTGTTTGTGAAAACCGAACGCCTAGGAGGCATTTAGTGGTCTAGGGTATTAATGTGATCTAGATGGAGGTTGAGCTACCTAGGTCCAGACGACGTCATGGAGGTGCCATGTGGTTCGGGAAAACTAGCCAATCTTTCCCTCGTGGCGCCATGGAGGTGCTATGGGCCGGATTACATTAACGGTTTAGAATAACAAAAGGAATTGTTTTGGAAAAAGGGGGAGCGACATTGGCATGACATCGCATTTCATTAGCATATTTGACGTATTTGTGATTGGATGATATTTGATTATATGCTTGTTGTAGTTATTGATATGTATTCCTTATGTTATGATCCCGTTTACTTTTTACCTATTCTTTGCATGGATTCACAGGGCTATAAGAAGTGTGTCTTAGACACTTCCTACTGAGCTTATGCTCACCCCATTATTTTAATATTTTTCAAGTTCGGGAAAAGAAGTGGCGGACTACAACCCACCACAACTCTAGACTGGATTTGAACTAATGTTTTGACGTCTTTTGTTTAGATATATGAACCACATTCTTATTGTAAAGTCTAAGCATCACTTGTTGAAGTTATAAATTATGGTTCTCTTGTAAAATTTTGATTTTTGTTTCATGGCCTGTAAATCTACATTAATTCGAAGTACTTTGATAATGGTCGTTAGTTCATGTAATGATTCATGTATTGTGATGTTGTTGGGTGTTGCTAAGTTGTATTCTATGAATTCATATATGTATGGAAGGGAATTATTCAATTTTAAAACCCTTTTGTATAGTTTCAAGTCCATAATAGTCTTCTGCAGATTTTCCAGCTCGCATGACCATTTCGGTCGGCCGAAATGGGCATTCGGTTGACTGATCTTTCCTGTAGCCTCGGTTACTGTTTGAATCACAACCGACCGACCGAAATGGCCATTTCTGTCGACCGGTACAGAAGCTATTTCGATCGACCGAAGCTTCATTTCGGTTGACCGATTTGCTGCTGTTTTGTGATTCTTGTCCCTTCCCTTGGCTTAACTAATCGTAAGTAATAAGAGGGTACTTAAGGCCTTCATAGATTATAATTAAGATGTATTAATGGTGTAATAGCACCGGATTTAATGGCATTGACTTAGGTAACTTCGGGTTCGGGTAAGGACCCGGTTAGCGGTTCGAACCTACGGGTTTAGGTCGTTACAGATTTGGTATTAGAGCAATGATTCGAATACCATTAGGATGATGGGTAGTGGCCTACCTAGGATTGCATGAAAAGTTAAATTACATGTTTATATGCTTATGTGTTAAGGTATTTAATTGTTTGAAAAGCATGTCTAATTGCTTAACTGCTTATGTGATTACGTGTTAAGTGTTTAAAGTTAATGCATATTATTAGCATGATCATGCATATCATCAGTTGGGTTTCTTTTTCCGGGAGTATGGAAAGTGTTTAAGTGTTGTCGGTTCTTGTCGAGTCATTTATGTGAGGATTCCGTTCTCGTGTGTGTATAAGTGTTATTATTTTGATCCATTCTCTCGTTTTATAACGTCATGCACCAAGAAAGGACCCCAGGGAAAGTTTTAGCTCTAATCCCGCAGAAAGGGATTAGGAGCAAGTTGAAGAAGATGTTTTGTTACGTGATTTGGTTCCATCAAGAGGGAAACAAGCGAAGGGGACCGTTGATCCACCTCTTCAGATAAGTAAGGAGCAGCTCAAGTTGGCAGTGCAGGCAGTCTTTATGATATGTTCTGGACTAAAGTGGCATCATCATCATAGGTTGTGCCACCACCACCACCTCCAAAGACAATTGAGTCAGATGAGACTCTTTACCACATTGCAAAGTTTGTGAAGTTAATGCCGACTTTGTTTGAGGGCGGGCCAGATCCGCTCATTGTGGATAGTTTCATGGATAGGGTAGAGAAGCATCTTAACACTATGAATTTGGCGATGGACAAGTTGAAGATTACACTGGCGACTTATAATTTTGTTGGGGATGCTGAGATTTGGTGGAAAACTGTTTCTCATACCCACGATCTGGACATAATGACCTATGATACATTCAAGAAGTTGTACTATCAGAAGTACTTTTCGGCACCTAAGTGAAGAGAGTTAAAGAAAGAGTTTAATGGTTTGAAGTAAGGAAGTAGGACTATCACTGAGTATAAGAACAAGTTTACGTCACTTTTAAGGTTTGCACCAGGGATTGCTAATGATGAGGAAGGAAAAATAGAGAAATTTGTGGATGGCCTTGATCTTACCATCAGGCCAATTATA